ATTGTATTTTTTTTTTCCTAGCTGCTGCTCTTTTTTTCCCCAGGATTGGGGGAAGGAGGAGAGCTTTAAGTATGGGGGTCTTGCCTCCGACCTGTAACCAGCTGTAGACTAGGAAGACAAAGTAAGGTCTTCTTTCTCCATTGCCTGATTTTCCCAAGAATAGTGGACCCCCACACACACACACAACTCTCAGGGACTCTTATCCCTCCAACCTGGAGTCACCTCCTGTTTACAAGAGTTTGAAGAAGTCAATTCGATTATTTACCTGTCCAGAGCTGAATGTCAAGACTGCATTTCAGGTCTTTGGAGAGGCTCCCCGGAAGAGTATCTGAAGTTTCCCAAAGGTGAGGCAGCCCAGCTGTGAGCCAGTGTCCCAACTTTGTCTGGCTTGCTGTGCTGCTGCTGGCTAGGGACTCCGATTAGTCATAAACCAGTAGTGAGCAGTGCGCCAGCCGCCCAGCCGGTGCCTGGCGATGTCTGGGAAAAACCTTCTCTAATGTTGTGTTAAATATTTAGTATGAGAGAGTGGCCCTGGGTGAATATTTCATGCCTGCCTTTATTGTCAATCAATGTGCAGAAAGCTCCATCCACTGTGAATGTTTAAATCCCAAACCCCAAAGAAAAAAACCAGAGTGAGAGTCATGTGTCTTCTCTGTCCCAGCCTTAGGATTGGAGGCTGAGCCTCAGCTAGTAAGCTAAAAAGAAACCTAGTGTGCTGTCAGGGCCCAGGAAAGATATGAGGGAGGATTAGATTTTGGCTCCTATCCATGAAAGATTTGGGGGGCTATGGGATGAGTGGTGAGTCCAAGTATGGGTCTCTAGAACAGACCAGAGGGACAGTGGAGCTGTGGACCCTGAAGTAGGCAGGGTAGGATGAGGGGCCACTCCTAAGTGGAAGCCCTCAGACCCTTTCCTTGGGGCTTCAGCCAGACCTTATTGCCTCCTTCCTGTTTCTCAGTACTGCTCTGCCTCCTCCAAGTCTGTCACCCTCTGGGATGGCTGTGGCCCAAGGAGTAGGCTCATGTTCTTCCCTCCCTTGCCTTCTATTCTTCTGGGCACCCTAGGACACACCCGGGCAGCTAAGAATCACTTCATTGAAAGGTTCTGGCCTGGGTCCCAGGGGCCAGAGCAACTGGCATGAGCAGAAAGCAACCTTGGTTGCTTGGAGGAGTTAATAGGGCAGGATGTGTTAGGGAAGGAAGGGAAGAGTTTAAGCTCCGAAGGACTAAGTCCTCTGGGCTCTCAAACAAAGCCAAAAGTGGTTCAAACTCTTTTTACACCCCCTAACTATAGGCTAAAATCAGTTTTTACTTTTAAAAATGTATTTGGATTTCATTTTCCTTACTGAACTAAGTGAAGGTGCTGAGAACCCCAAACCAGATAGGGAAGACACAGAGGTGGTAACGTCTTCAATTATAACCCCCTAAACCCATTCCCTCCCTCCCCTCCCTCCCCACATTTTCTAAGGCTTTACAGTAACACCTCAGTGGAGTCTGCCTCGCTTATGTGTGGCTCTGAAATAAACAGGAAGCATACCCACTCAGTGTTGGGCACCGTTTCCAAGCCCTCCCTTAGCCTTGGGCAAAACTTTACTGAGCAACTGGATTGGAGCATATGTGTGGGATTCCATTGGGAAGGGACCACAAAAGGAAAAATCTGTTGAGTTTTTCTCCTTCCTTTAACCTTTTTCTAGGGTGAGCCAGAAGCAGCATTTTTAATTGTAATGGCAAGGAACTATGGATTGTGGCTTTTATAGAGTTCTCACTGACCACATTTAACTTGAGTTTACTAGAGGCAAAATGTTCCCCCAAACAGTGGTAGCACCAATTCAAGAGAGGGTAAAAGTACCCTTATCCCTTGCAGAGGTGTGGATGAAGGCAGTCTCAGCTTCTGCTTTCCCCATTTCCCTAAAAGGCTTTGCTTTCTTCCCCATCCTGGCCTCCAGGGCAATGTGGGGCCCAATCCCTCAAGGCTCATTCTGCATAGCCAGGACAAGAGGGGTGGGCTGCTTCCTGTGAGGAGACAGCTGTGGGCCTGAGCACTTGAATTTGACCACCAATGTTTATTCCCGGGCCACCATAAAAGTGAGCCAGGCGGCTACAAGGAACTGCTGGCAGCCTGATTTCCTTGTAACTAAAAAAGAAAAGCAAGAAAGAATGTTAAGGAGTTGATGTCGAGGGAAATTCTGGGGTCTTCTGACAGAGATTTCTGCAATGTAATACTCTTTCCCTTAAAAGTAAGGCATGATGTTCAATTTTTTTTCAAATGTGGGTCTTTTAATTTTTCAAAAAATCCCAGTAACTGCCAGTTGCTGCTGGGGTTAAAGCGAGAAGGCCTGGTTTCTGAGGTCAGCTAGCTGTTGACTGGCAAAAAACAACCATGGTGTGGGTTAGAGGCCTCCCTGTATAGCCTTGGGTCCAATCCACCCCAAGCATCCTCCATCCTTGGCTGAGCTTGCTTGCCCCGGGCTGGCTGTACTCTGTCAGCCTGAAGCTTCTGGTCAGGGCATTGGTTGCCTTCTCAGAGTGGGATTCTTTTGTGGCCCCCAATCCCTTCCCTTGCAGGCTATTTTTGTTCTTACCTAGTAGGCACCTGGTGGCCACTCTGTCCACCTGGAGTCCAAGCCTTCACCTGAAACCACCTGACAGGGTTTTCTTGCCCTCCTTGCTGGCTCTTGGTGGCCTTGGTCCCTGCGGCTGCCTGTCTGGCATTAGCAGGCGGCTGCAGTCTGGGTGGCTGCCTTGATGGTCTGGCCAGAGAAAGGACAGGCTCCAGTGCCCTTACTTCCCACACAGGGACAAAAGTGGCAGCTTCAGAAGGGGGCAGTATCTACCGAATTTGGCTTGGGCAGCTCCAGGCAAACTCCTGCACACACCATTGGAGTGGTTTTGCAGCTCCCCTACCTCCTCCTGCTACTCCAGGTGCTAGAGAGCAGATTTTGATGGGGAAAGGGTCCCACTCTACAGGCCATGATCTAGGAAGAAAACCCTGGGAGGAAAAATTCGGCCCATGTGAAATCAATAAAAAGGGAGTCCCACTGGAGGGCACCCTCAGTTGTTCCCAGGCTGGCCCCATAGGCAAGAGCCCTCATTACAAATCAGCTTGCACCTTTTTGCACGCATTTTTGTTCTTTGGAAGGAGATTACTGTTGAATAATCTCTTCAGAGTGCTTTGTGGGATTTTCAGGTTAGTGGTTTATCTGGCACCCAGGACACCCACATTCCTACTCCACCCCTACCCTGGGACCTGGAAAGCGCGGGACTGCAGATCTGGGGCTTTCACCCCTCCTCCTTTTCTGGTTAGCGCCTCAAGCCTGAAGCCCCAAGTGAGGCCACCTAAGCCGATGGATGTGCCCCATTCTTCCGCCTATGGAAGAGGTAGAGGGACGGGAGAAGGGCAGCTCATCTACCCTCACAACCCCACCCAGCGTCCTCCGCTGAGGGATTGTCCCTGGAGGCCAGCAACATGACCCCATTTCTCCCCATAAAAGCCCCATTTTACGAGCCAGTTTCACTGACCCCCTCAGCAAATGCTCTAAAATGAAGGAAATGTCTTAAAAGCAGTCTGGAAATGGAGTCGCTGCCACTGGGCCTTAGATTCCAAAGCCAGTTGAGGCCCCACAGAAAATACCTTCTCCGGGAGAGATTGCCCTCTTGGGCTACCCGGGTCTCCGGCCTCACTGCGGAGTGGCGGATGGCTTGGCTGGAGCCGCCATTCCCCGGCTGCTTAGCGCCTGCTCAGGCACCGGACCCAGTCCGCGCTGATCAAAGTGAGCTCGCGGCATTTTTATGAGATGAACTTTAGTGGCGCTTTACTTGTAATCAGACTCCTGAGTCGAAAATGTAGAAGGAAACAGCCTATCAATCCCAAAAGGAGAGA